ATTTTAAGTACAATACAGTTTCCGAGGAGATTATGATCCTCAGGTTGGTCGGCCGCACCCAACCTGAGTCTCGAGGACTGAGAACGCCGCTTTTTGTGTCCCAAAGTATTCTGCCGAGGTAGGACTTGATCCTCGGGCCGATTTTGCAAATCAACTTGAGTCTCAGAAGCTACTGGGATCAGCGGTCTTGCGTCATCCTTCAAGTGCATCTCGGGTTTTAGACCGATACACACCTTGAGGGCTACTGGCTATATATCTCGGCAGAGAATAAATTGCACCAATCAAAAATATTGACAAAAAAATTGGCCCGCAGTCGGGGTGGTGCACCACCTCGGAAGCAGTCCGGCATAAAGCTCGGGCACTAGTGGCTGGCTCTATAGAGGGCATTTCCAGCATTAAGCTCGGCTAAACTCCTTCAACTTTTTTGAACCAAGGTGATATGACACCTCGGATATAGTCCGGCGTTGGAGCCCGGATACAGTCCGACGTTGGAGTTTGGACATAGTCCGGCGTTGGAGCTCGGATACATTCCGGCGTTGGAGCTCGGAAAGCGGTCCGGTGTTGGTGCTCGGCTGCAAAAGATACCTCGAATGCAGTCCGGCGTTGGAGCTCGGACACAAGAGGATGCTGCCGCCCGGGAACAACTTCAAACCCGAGGTGTGGCATAAAAATAACAAGGCATTGATAAAGGCCGAAGACTTAAAGGGCTCCTCGGATACCCGACATGTGAGATCTTCAGATTTAGCTCGGCAATCCTCAAGATAGAAGATGGGAAGATTTGTTGAACCATTTTTCAAGACCGACGACCGAAGATGAAGAACAGTTCGGAAGAATCGAGGAGCGTCCTTAACTTGAAGACCGGTTCAGGGGGCTACTGACGGTGTCCTGGACTAGGGGGTACTCACCACGTCATCTCTCGATCTGTTAGATTGGACCGAGGACCCCCATGGCCGTATACTCATGGGCTAGTTCGGACAGCTGCCGCATACAAGCAAAATTCCACAAGACTTGGCGGTCAAGACAAGGACTTCTCCCCACCGGCGTATTCGACTAGGACTCTTGTTATCCTAGGTCTCTGGTGCATTATATAAACCGAGGCCAGGCTAGTCGATAGATATATACAGACAATCATACCATAGGCTAGCTTCTAGGGTTTAGCCTCTCTGATCTCGTGGTAGATCAACTCTTGTAATACTCATATCATCAAGATCAATCAAGCAGGACGTAGGGTATTACCTCCATCAAGAGGGCCCGAACCTGGGTAAACATTGTGTCCCCTGCCTCCTGTTACCATCCGCCTTAGACATACAGTTTGGGACCCCCTACCCGAGATCCGCCCGTTTTAACAACGACACCCCCAGTTTTGTTTCATTTCATTCTTTTTTTTGCTTTTTTTATTTTTTATTTTTCCCTTCTTTAAAATAACTCAGGATTAAAAAAAACCCAAATTTGAAAAAAGTCAAGGAATCATAAAATGTTTGTTAATAAAAAATCATGATTTTGAAAAATGTTTGGGAAATCATACTATGTATGATTTTGAAGAAAAAACATTTGGGAAATAAAAAATCATGATTTGATTTTTTGCATATTTAATAATGTATGTGAATTTGAAAAAATGTTCATGGATTGTTAAAAAATGTTCAGAGAATTCATAAATTGTTCCCAAATTTCAAAAAAGTTCATCACCTAAATTTTTTTGCTGATTCAAAAAAATTCATAAAGAATTTCCTGCATTTCCTAAAAAGGTTTGTGAATTTCGAAAATTGTTCAAAAGTTTTGTAAAATGTTCACTGATTCTATTTTTTCAGGAGTTTCAAAAAAGTTCACAATATTAAAAGAAGTTTGCAAATTTGTAAAAAGTATTGGTGAATTCAAAAAATGTTCGTGAAGTTGTAATAAAAGGTCTGCGAATTTGAAAAATGCTCATGATGTCAAAAAATATTTGCAAATTAAATTGTTTTTCATGATTTAAATTTTTTTCATGATTTCAAGAAAGTTCACTATTCTGAAAGATGTTCCCAAAATTTAAAAAGGAATTAGAAAAACAAAAAAAGAACGGAAATTGTAATTTCCGAACGTTCTCGCCTTGTCCATAGATCTGAACGAGTTCGGCTCTAGCGCTCCACCTTCCGCCTGCTTTTTTATTTTTCACAAGAAAAATCGGCAGCGGTGGGATTCGATCATTGCACCTGCTGCATGCCTTCCACTACTGGTAACCAACCCAGCTAAGTCTTTCATATGTTAAAATATATGTTACATTTCGTTTTATCGTATAACTGCTCCTTTGCATCTACAGCCAAAAGAAATAGAAAATAAATTTGATATTGTGTGTGGGGTGCCTTTGAACTCGGACTTGAGTCTCTCACAACTAAGCTCTGGCCCATTAACCAGCTCACTTAAATTACTTTTGTTGTCTTACCCCCTAATTTTATGTTTTTAAATAGCCTGCTGGTATACAGTAGGCAGTTTTCATACATAGTATTAAAAATGTTGTTATATCTCTACATTATGGTAATATGTCTTGTTGTCTTGCTCCCATTTCTACCTTGTTCGAGGAATGTAAATAATGGACTAGAAAATTAAGAGAATTGAAATGGGAGCACGCAATCCTTGCTCCCGTTATGGTAGCATGTTTCTCTCCATTTCAAAACCAGGAGCAACCAATGCACGCCATCAGGCCCTTGGAGTTGATAACTTAGGTACATAAATCACGATAACTTTGCCCCATGGATAAAAGTTGTTAAAAATATACCACCGATAATTTCTTTGTAAATAGCATGATAATATACACTCCTGGACTTGGTAACTTAGGAATAAACACCATGATAACTTTCATCCTTGGAAAAAAGTTGTTGAAAACATAATCCGGTAACATATGTGTAAATAACATGGTAATATAGGATTCTGGACCTGATAACTTAGGTACAAACACCATAATAATTTTGACCCGTGAAAAAAAGTTGTTGAAAACATACTCTGATAACTTGTCTTGTGTAAATAGCATGATAATATAGGCTTCCGGTCCTGATAACTTGGGTACAAAAACCACGAGAACTTTGACCCATGAAAAAAATTGTTGAAAACATACAACCGATAACTTCTTTGTAAATAGCATGATAATATACACTCGCGAACTTGATAACTTAGGTATAAACACCACGATAACTTTGACCCGTAAAAAAAATTATTGAAAACATACCCCAGTAATATCTGTGTAAATAACATGGTAATATGGGGTTCCAGACCTGATAACTTAGGTACAAACACCACGATAACTTTGACCCATGAAAAAAAGTTGTTGAAAACATACCCTGATAACTTTTTGTGTAAATAGCATGATAATATAGGCTCCCGGCCCTGATAACTTAGGTACAAACACCACGATAACTTTGACATGAAAAAAATTGTTGAAAACATACCACTGACAACTTCTCGTGTAAATAACATGAGCTGATAACATGGAAAAATGTTGTTAAAAAATACCTCCCAATAACTCACGTGTGAACAACATGATAATACACGCACATGAGAGCTGATAACTCATATACAAATATCGCGGTAATTTTTTGACCGAGGGGATGAAAATTGTTGAAAAAGATACCCCTGATAACTTTTGTGCAACATGGTAATATAGACAACAAAAGCTGATAACTCACTTCAAACATCATAATCACTTTTTGACCCCTCGGATAAAAGTTTGTTGAAACCTTACCCCCGAAACTTTTGTGTAAATGACACGGTAACTTGTGTATGACAGATGTGATAACTCACGTAGCCCGGATGTGGTAACTTTTGGTCCGAAAAAAAGTCATTAGAACATATCAACATAGGATCTAGTTTCGAAGATCTCGTCGAGACGATATTTTTTGTGAAGACGGTATTTCATTTAGGGCGACGATTTGAGCTACAAAACATTTTGAAGTTTGAAAAAAAAATCTAGGATGATATCAGCTTTTCGTTCTTTAGGGTGTGTTCGGTTGGTGTCACAAAGTGAAATGTAATGGGTCGGTTTCATCCCTAGAGCTCATTCTAGTGTTTAATTTGTCGAAGGAAGAAGAACCCACCGATTCCACAAAATGTCATATTCCTTGTTTATGCGGAACCAAGTGATACCTCCGAATCGAGCGGACCACAGGGAACCGCCACGGGGCCGCATCTTCCTCCCCAACCTTGCGCACGCCACCGCCAGCAGCCTCATCACACGCCGCCATGGATGGCCACCGCAGCATCCGTCGCGCTCGTAGCAGCCCCGGCCACCCCGGCGTCTCCCCCTTCCCTGGGCCGCAGATCCCTCCGCATCTTTGTGTGTGCTGCCGCCGACAGCCCGACCGCGTGCGGCCATGACTTGCCACCGCCGCATCCTCGCGTTGGCGTTGCTTGCCGTCGCGTCGGCCACGTCCCAGGCGGGCGCACCTGACACGCTCGCCGAGCAGGGAGGTCGGGCGACCCTCTCAATCATCTTCTTCAGCCGAGCATGGAGACCGGACAACCCTCTCACTCGTATTCTTCAGTCGGGCTTGGAGGCTGGAAGTATCTAATTAAGACGCCACCGTCGGGAAGCTTTGGCCGCTGCACCAAGGAGCATGTGGTTTGCAGTGACAATCGCCGTATGTTTTCAACATCTGTATATTTGTTCAAGTACATTTAAGTGTTCCGTGGGTGTTCTTCTGTACTGCAACGTCGGGTACATTTTTTCTTTTTTACGGGTGAAGTACATTTGTTCATTACAATTGACGTAATCCAATGTTCAACATTCAGTTTAGGTTTCTATCAAAATCTAATTCATGTAATAAAGTGAGATGAACAATTCCATTCCATTACATCTCTCAAACCAATACTTTTGGCAGGAGATAGTAGGCCTAGCCCACCCTGGATTCCTTCCGCGGGGCCCACTCCACTCACAGCAGCACCGGCCCACGTGCGTATAACTTCCGTGCCCAACTGCCGACGGCGGGGCCAAGGAGGCCTCCGGGGACTGGTTCTCCGGGTTCACTGGCTCCATGGAGACCGTGCTCAAGGTGCGCCCGCCTAGCCTCCCCCCGCCGCTCGTTCGTCCGACCACCACCACGGTTGCGTGCCGTGTGGCTCTCTCTGGTTCCGACGACACCGCCATGTTCGCTCGCCCCCGCTTGCAGCGTGTGATACCGTGCTGCCCACCCTTTCGGCGCCGAAAAATCCGCGCCCCTGTTTTTCGGGGAACAGTGGAATCTACTGTGGTTGCCTACCTAGATTCCTGAGCCGGGCAATCCCAGCCCAGGGGCCGTAGGGTTGGGGGCGCTGACATTTCCCAGCACGCTCAAATGTAGCGTGCGACCCTTCGGCGCTGAAAAATCCGCGCCACTGTTTTTCGGGAAACGCGGCGATCTAATTGCCTGGATTCCTGAGTCCCCTGAAAGCGATTCCGATTCGGGGGCCGTTGGGTTGCTGTTCCAAGGGAGCGCTGAAATTTCTCATTTCTCAGCATGCTCAATCGTACTAGCTAACTGGCGAGAAATACAGACGGGAGGATAAGATTCAGCATGCCCTGCCGTTACATGCCTTATTAGTACACCATACTGCTCAAGGAAATTGTTGAGATATGCTCAAGGCCTCATAGGATCTTGCAACGGCTGGTTTCATTTTCTTGCAACTGCTGCAACAGCATCACTGACTTTTCAGCAGAAGAAATGGCTTTCCTGACATCTGTGCCCAAAGTATGCTTGTTGACAAGGAATTATCATAGGCACTGCTGGTTAGGAGGTCAAAACGGCGACGAATGCTCTTCACTTAAAGAGCGATGCTGTTCGTTATTAGTATAGTTTCTGCAGCTTGGCCTATGTTTTGTTCTTTGGGGAAATGGACTACTTGCCGTCAAGAATCATGTGTAATTTTACATGGTTCTGATCTTGGGTACACGAACATGCCCTGATTTATTCTATTGTAATTTCCACTACACACAGATGATGGTAGGTTTGGAAATGAATGAGGCCTAGCTTTTTACTAGGCTCAGAGAGGGGATCAAGAGAGAACCAGTGTTTTCCTGTTTGTTCTCTGCTTTCCTCTATTTTTGAGTATTTGATCATAGGAATGAACATTACTGTTTAAAACCTGTTGGTATAAGTGTATGTGTTCACATTTGTGTACATTATAACCCCCCCCCCCCTCTCCTCGTTATATGTTTATATCATGCCTGAAACATCGAATACATTATGTGATATGTATCTTTTTCTCATTGGCAGGTTCTGAAAGACGGTCTTTCGACTCTCCATGTTCCTTATCCATATGGTTTTGCGATCATCCTCTTAACAGTTCTGATTAAGGGGGCCACTTTTCCTCTTACAAAGAAGCAAGTAATTCTCTCTCCCATGTAGCTACAGCCAGAACTTATTGGGATATAATTTAATTTACATTGCGGTAGATGTTGTTATTCACATAAAGGTGGTGAAGTATGCTAACTATTTCGTTGGGACATGATTAAAAGTGATTACTGCATGAAAGTGTGAAACTGTGCATTGTGGCAGTTCTTTCTAAGAAGTTATATGAATTTATGATGTCTACAGTTCTACGTAGCACTTGCTGAGAAATGATACCATTTACCATGACTGAACTTTGGAGTGATCCACAACTTAACAAGAAAATATTGATATTCATCAATACACAATGCATATCCGGCATTTTGACAGTCTTTTCTCTTATCTATCTACTGGTTGTAGCTTCAGTCATATCCTAGTAGATGGTAGTTCCTTGCAGGTCCTTCCCAGCTGAACCAGTAATTAATACATGAATTGATCATTGTACCAGTAGTCCAGTACTACCTGGCAACAACTTTATTGTGGGGTCTGTTTTACAAGAACAATGTGAATCACGTGTGTTTCAGCTGGCCCTGGGAGGAACTTCTGGCCGTAAACAATTGATGGCATTAAAGCCTTCTGAGTTTAATTTTGCATTCAAGCATTACCTACTACTAGTGATAAATGAGGATGTAGCACACCCTGTCACAGTCCTGCATGGAGCTTTTAATTTGCAATTTTTATGCCTGTTACCTTGTGAATCATGCACTCATGACCACCATTGCACCTCCTTGTATTTAGAAGGGTCAAGATTCGTACTCATCGGTTCTTAGTACCATTGTTTTCATTACCAAACATGCTCGTTTAATTTCTAATCTTTTCCAAATGGCATCATCTAATTACAAGAGCTCCACAATTTCTTTAAATTACTTACATTACTTGCTAGGTCCAGGCTTGGCAAATATTGTTGCTTGATGCTAAAGAAGTGCTTAAATGTTTTCTGATATTCTTGTATCCAATAGTGAAACTCGTTGTTTTTTTTTGGTTCCATCTAGGTCGAATCTGCACTTGCAATGAGGTCACTTCAACCTCAAGTGAAGGCTATTCAAGAACGACATGCTGGGGATCAGGTATTTATGTTTTACATATAAACTTCCGTATGTGTTCTTTTATTGGAATGTTGCACATATTCTTAAATTAGATTCTTCAATGCACAGTGGACCGATGATATGATAACCTGTCAACCTTTTGTCATCAATTGAGTAGGGGCAAAAATAAATGCAATATGCATTAAGGTCTACATCAAGTGAAAGACATATTTTTCATATAGTTTAGTTTATATTTCCTCAGAGCTGTTAAGATGTTCTGTGGGAATGCGACATGATTGAATTTATGTGGGGCTAGCTCATTTCAATGTATATTTTTAAGACATGCAGCTAATTGAGATATTATCCAAAATGTCTTTAAAAAAGGTGCTTATTCCCCCAAGTGCATATATCAGATAAAATGCATGTAAACAAACGATTAACTAATATAACTCGGTTGGCACCTGGGTGATAAAATTGAATGGATTTACATAGTACATTATAGATCCTTACCAATGTATTTGGAGTGCTACTGAAATCACTATTGTCTGTAAGTTATTTATTTATCTTTCCAGGAAAGGATACAACTCGAAACTGCCCATTTATATAAGTTGTCTGGCGTTGATCCACTTGCAGGTAGTTATACACACTATGCTTGGTATTTTTCCTACCAGGGGCTCAATGTGAGCCCCTCAAAGCTCAATGCATAGTAAGACTTTAATTTAATTGGGTCTCACATTTCCTTGATCCATTGCTAGTTTGCTACCGTTTCTATTGAGGTATTTTCTTGTTTATAGTTAATGATGTGCAGTTTCCTTTGGCATGCTTTTGCACCAGGGTGCTTGCCTACTCTTGTAACAATACCAGTCTGGATTGGTCTATACAAAGCTCTCTCCAATGTAGCTAATGAGGTTCATATGATTAAATGTTCTTTTTGTCATTCTTTCTGTTGAACACTAAACATCTATATTACCTAATGCGTCCATTTTCGTTAAAAAGGGACTTCTTACGGAAGGCTTTTTTTGGATACCTTCTTTGGCTGGTCCAACAACAATTGCTGCTCGAGAAAGCGGCCAAGGAATATCCTGGCTTTTTCCATTTACGGTAAACATATAGAACTCGATAACTTCATGTTATTTCCTGGGTTTGATCCTTAATTATAAGGCCAAGTAATGTCATACTCGTACCATTATTTTTGTGCATCAGCACGGTCGCACTTACTAATCACACAGCAAGCAGTTTAGTCTTCGCCGCTGAGTTAGATGCAACTTTTAGTGTTTAGGACCATGTTGATTCCTATCAATGTTGTTGCTAAATTATTTCATTTCAACATTGTTGTGTTGTGTAAAAAAAATGTCTTCTCCTTGTTCACATTTTTCTTGCCAGAAAAATGGTGATATTGCTTAGATTTGACTTTCCCACCTGTATTTAGCTGTCCAAAAAGACAGATACATGTACACGTATGTTGTGTTCACTTGCTGCCTTTGTAAGCACCAAAGCAACTGTGTTGTCAGCATAGTTGCATTGTCCATGAACATTGATGGAAGGTCCTCTGAATGATAAGTTGCATCACCTTTTGTAGACATTTCTATCTTCTAGGATCATCTATTAGGGTGAACAAATTTTTTTTGAACACCCAATGTTAAATTTCTGGATCCGCCACTGACTTCTAGTACAATTCTGCTCCCAGAAATTTATATGGTTTCCTGGAAGTTTGTGGAGTTTTCTCCTTATTTCTTTGACACTGGTATAATTGATGATGTTGTAGGACGGACATCCACCACTTGGTTGGTCGGACACTATGGCATACCTTGTTCTACCAATTCTTCTGGTTATTTCACAATACGTATCTGCTCACATAATGCAATCATCACAGGTTTGTGTTGCCAAGTGCTGAACATATCTACTGTATTGTATTCTACTCTTTTTAGGGCATTATTTTTGGTCCTTTGTACTAGTATGGAAATTTTCTTATCAGCTGGATTGTTTCTATATGGATTATGGAACTCAAAATGAATACATGCAATACAATGCTGCTGATTGGATTCATTATCTCTAGTTGAACAAGTCATGAATCATGACTATTCAAATATCCACAGAAGACTGTCTTTCTCTCTTTCCTCTAAGTAACATGTAAAGATGTGTTAAAGCAGTACAGTTGTAGCTTTTCTGAACTCTGTTAATTGTTTACTCTTTAGAGGAAAACATTTGGGGCACTGAGAAAGAAACACACAAAGATCAAGGACATGCACCTCCTTTGCTGTATGATGCCAATGTAACTGGTACCCCATGAGGTTTGTCTTTACTTGAGCTTACTGTTGTCCATGTCATTGCAGAGCAATGATCCTAGCCAGCAAGGTGCACAAGCTGCAGTGAAGTTCCTGCCTTTGCTAATTGGTTATTTTGCTCTTTCCGTTCCTTCTGGATTGAGTCTATATTGGTGAGTACATACTGTAGAAATTTCAACTGTTTTTTATACAAAAAACATGTTCAATTGTTCACTGAAATAAATGCTTTAACATAACTTCCTATAAGTAGAGCAGGTCCTCGTATGCTCATTGGGGCATTTCCCATATTTATATTTATGTACCTATGCTGGTTGTGCCAGCAGCCCAGCATGCTACATAATTGAGATCAAGTTCTCACACTTTGATTTGCTTCAAACATTGACTGGTTGTGTCTTTGTTTTGTCTTATAGCACAATTGTTGCATTCCTTTTAGTTTCGGGTTGACATACGGGAACATTCCATCAGACCTAGCCAGCTTTCTGTGTTATCTTGTGGCTCAGTTTTCATATATCAGTGGTTTTCACTAGTTGTTCTTTCTTGCAGGCTTACAAATAATCTCCTTAGCAGTGCACAGCAGGTGTGGCTTCAAAAGCTTGGAGGTGCCAAAAATCCTGTCCAAGAATATATTGACAAGCTTGCTAGAGAGGAATCAACTAATGTTGGAAAGTATGAACCTGCTGACAAGAGTGAGGCTCTCCCAAAAGCTGGTCCAGCCCAGCCTGGTCAAGTGCCAAAACCAAGCGAACCACAGCGTGGTGGAAGGTAATGTTTAGATATAGCTTAAGATTGCTGCTCAATGCATGTACTATCTCAGTAGTAATGTCACCGTGACAGTAGCTGGCTAGGAATTAGAAATAAGGGGAAACAGAAGTAAATCAGTTTTGGATACACTGAAGCCTTGTGTACGGCAAGAAATTTAGGATCAACCTCAGGGATGTATTTGAAATTCTGCAGTGTAATGCTTGGAATTTAGCAGCCAGTAGTAAATTAGCTAAGACTGCATATGAATCCAGTAAATCTTTCGCGTGGACCATGATCCTCTTGGCCTTTGCTGTATGTACATTTGTTAGCGTCAATGTCGTCCTGTCTGGCCAATTGAAGGATTTGGACAATGCTGTCACTTTGAGTTGCACTCTTGCATTTGCTTGCTGCTGCTAGTGAAAGGTGCCAACAAAGCATCATCTTTTCAGCATGTCAGTCGGAGCTTTTATTTGCTCTGTACTTCTATGCCACATTAGCTCTTGTTATTGCCCATTTAGAAGGGACAACATACCCCTGTGATTACTAAATAAGGTCAATGCCATCCATCCGAGTTTATAATGTAATTTCAAGAGCTGATAAACCATGATTGGCAGGTTTAAGAAATTAATGGAAGAAGAGTCAAGAAGGAAACAACTTCTGGAACAAGCAAAACAAATTGAAGAGGCAAGCATCGACTCTGTTGCCATTGATGGGAAACAGAATTTTGACAGCTCTGCTCCAGACACCCAAGATGAGCAGGTCAGTTTATTTGTTGATTGATAATATAATATCATTTCTTTTAGAAAACTGATTTTTTTGGGCTCAAATATTGAACAGGAGGAATCCCATGAAAATGAACCGATTTCAGCTAGTAGCAATGCCGGACTTAGCCATGATACACACGAAGCAACCCCAAACAGGAACACGGAAGAGGTATATTCTTCTTGCATGGGAGCATATTTTAGTCTGTAAAAACTGGAGAATTTCACATGCAGAAATCTCTCTCTCTCTCTCTCTCTCTCTCTCTCTCTGCACTGAATGAATCATAGGTCGAAAGATTCTAACAAGCCGTCCTGCTGTGCAGGGAACAATTCAGGAAGCGACCGACACTGACAGCCATTCTTCAGTAAGCAATGCTACTTCCCCCTCTGACGATAGATTGAGAGGCCAAGATGAGGATGGTAAAGACACACAGTAGTGAACACGGATTGGCTGGTGAATCTAACGAGTTCATCGTCGTCGGCTGGTTCCAGCGTATCCGCTGTGCTACCCTCGACGTGCTCGTGCAAAACCGCCATGCAGGCGGCCTATTCTTTCCACAGGAGGATACCATAATACCATGCGGCAAGATTGATCAAGATACAAACTGTATGCTTCTCTTGTCAGAACCGGAGATGTAGAGTACGCGTAGCTTGTACTGTCGAGTAGAGGACTGTTGATCATCCCCCCTCTGATGTATTTTCGGCTGGGAAATTGGGACGAATGTGTCCTGTCTAAGGTTTGCTGTAATCTATATATGGACATCTTCCTTGCCTGAACGGGAAACTGGGACTATGTATCAGGGATTCAGGCGCCACATCTCTTTGTAGGGCTTCTTTGGATCACAGGATTTGCAAAACAAAGGAATAGGAAAAATGGAGGATTTGATTGCCATGACATAGCCAATCCTGTGGATTTTTTCCAGAGGTCAGACCTCATGTGTAAATTCTTTTGGAATCAGCACCTCGGAGACCCAATCCTGAGGAATTTTAATGGCCCAATCCTTTGATCCAAATGCGTTTCATAGGAAACAATCCTGAGGATTGATATCCCATGAAAATCCTTTGAAAATCCTCCAATCCAAAGAAGGCCGTAGCTAGCAGCTAGCGGCTGCATTCACTTGAATTTGAAATAATTTGTGATACTCCCTTGGAAACTTTGTACTAAATCAGTGATGATTAATCATATGCTACTATACTTGTACAATCGAAACTTAGTTAATTTGCTCCACTGGAGAAGAAGGCAAGCAAAAACAAAGCTGTGCTGAACTTACAATGAGATTAGCATGGGAAAATTCCTTGGGGAACTATATGTTGCACGCACCACGGTCTTTAATTTACTCGTATGCTTTCGCGGTTTCATAGTGTCGTGAATGCCATGCTAGCGTACGTACGTGGTTAGATACA